ATTTTTCCACAACATCATTGAAGTCTTAATTCGGTTTAAAAAAATTAATCAAAAGAGTAGATGCAAAATTCATTTTGTTAATTTTAATGCGGTTCAATAGTTAAATTAATTTTTATTAATAAATTCTATTGCGATTCTATAATAAATAAATTTTGATTGAAAAATATTTCGTGTCAACATTTTTCGAATTGAATTGACTTCTTTTGAATTTAAAGTTGTTTTCTATTTTACTTGTTATTCCATAAAATGTAATGTTTACATAAATCAAGGTTTTATGTTAATAACGATGATTCCACTAGTGAGAAAGTTTATTATCTCTTGGAAACAATTTATTAAGTAGATCTGTTAACAATTTCATGCATGTGACTGTACTCAACGCCCATATTTTCCCAGAAATCTGCCTTGCAATGCAAGCAATGCATCATGAATCATCCAGAAATAATAAAAACAAGTGTCTTTGTTCGGTATTTTCGAAGCGATAATAATAGCAAAGCTGAAACCCTTGATCTATCATTATCAAGGCTTCCACAATGAAAATTATTTGTTGAATTGTGTAACCTTCAGGGCTACTTTATCTATAAAATCTTTAATTGTTGAGTTGGATCAACAAGGTACTCAATAATGCTCAATTAAATATCATGTAAAAAATAAATCTGTTCCAGAGTGCCTATCATAAAGATAAAACGGTGCAATGTTTGCGTTTGTTTCAATTAAGTTGTAAATTTCAGCATTTTAGAAAATGAGAGAAAAATCCGCGAGGAGAAAGAACGTGAGGACAAATTCAACGAAACTGTGGGGAGTCGAGGCTCAATCAGTCGCTATGAGGGCAAAAGCTTCAAAACTCTTCTTCCGCAAGTGAGTGAAAATTTGAAAGTTTGCTAAAATAATTCGAAAAAATTAGATGTTGGCTTCTGCCATCGGAGCCCTATTTCACGTCGTCGTCGGAATCTCATTCGCCTACTCTGCGATTCTCCTACCCCAACTCAATGCTGAAGACTCAGATCTCAAGATCACCAAAGATCAAGGATCATGGATCGGTAATTAAAACACAATTGAATCCATAGGCACCGACTTTTTATATTTTCATTGAGCGCATAAACAAAAAATTGAGACTTGAGAACAATTACGCGAAAAAACGATTTCTTCTTCCCTGTTTGCAGAATTTATTGTATTTAATTTAATTTTTTTAGAAAATTTAATTTTTTGTGTAGTACAAAAGATAAAAATCAATAAAAAAAAGGTCAAAAAATAGTACATGTTCAAAGTTGCAAAATGCTTCAAGTTGTTGAGTTTTGCAAAATAATACACTACTATTAATTTTGCAAAAAATGGAAACAAAAAAATGACTTTTTTGGAAATTTGCATTGTTCGTAATTCGAGTGCTGAATGCAACTTTTCATTAATGTAATTAATTAGAGATGAGTAAAACTAGGGTTTGCAAAAAATTTGTCAGTATTGGTTTTTAATTTTTTTCATTTTCAAAAAATCAAACAATTTTTTTTTAATTTATTCGATTTTTTTTAAATTGTAGCAAAAAATTTTTCATTTTGATGAAGATTATACAATGTTCAGAAACAATTAATTCTTTCAACTTTCTTCTCTTCTTTAAATCAATGTTGCAAGTAATTTTTTTTTTCAAAAAAAAGTCAAATATCTGTGATAAATTAACATAAAGAGAACATAAAAAAGCAAATTAAAGCTGAATGATTTATTTAATAAAAATTTCCCCAAGTCCGTGGATCAAAAAAAAAGAACAAAAAAATCAATTTTTTCCTCACACTATTTCTTGGGATTATGTAATAACCGTAGCTCCGAGAATTTTTTGCCATAAGATTTCAAGACTAGAAACTTGAAGCTTTAAAATGGATTTTTTAAATCTAGAAATGGCCATTTTACGTTGAGGAACAATATTTTAAAAATCATCAAAAAATTCAAGAAACTTTTTTGTTCTCTAAATTTTTTGGAAAAGTAAAAGGTTTATGTAAAATGTTTTGTCGTTTGAAGTTTTTGATTGAAAAATGAAAAAACAAAGTAGAATAACATAAATATTGCATTGTTCGCAATTCGAGTGCTGAATACAACTTTTCATTAATGCAATTAAATAGAGATGAGCAAAATTAGGGTATGCAGAAGCTAAATAAATGGTCTCAAAAATTAGTCAGTATTGGTTTTTAATTTTTTACATTTTCAAAAATATCAAACAATTTTTTTTAATTTTTTCAAAATTGTAGAAAAAAAATTGCTTCTCATTTTGATGAAGATTACAGAATGTTCAGAAACAATAAATTCCTTCAATTTTCTTCTCTTCTTCAAATCAATGTTGCAAGTAAATTTTTTTTTCAAAAAATTGTAAAAACGCCTTGGAGAAGATTTATTCCAGTTTTGGGAACTGATGATCAAAGACAAAAAGATCCTTTTTCATTAAAAGTCAAATATCTCAGTCTTAAATTAACATAAAGAAAACATAAATTAAAGGTGAATGTATTGATTTAATTAATAAAAATTTCCTCAAGTCCGTGGATTAAAAAAAACAAAAAAATCATTTTTTTCCCTCCCGCTATTTCCTAGAAAATTTTTTGCCAAAAGATTTCAAGAGTAGAAACTAGAAGCTTTAAAATGGATTTTTTTATTCTAAAAATGACCATTTTACAGGAACAATATTTTAAAAATCATCAAAAAATTTAAGAAATTTTTTTGTTCTATAAATTTTTTGGAATATTAAAAGGTTTATGTAAAATGTTTTCTCGTTTTGTGAAGTTTTTGAGATAATAAGAAATCTTTTTTCAAGGAGTTTTTTCTAAAGAGCTTAATTTTGAATTTTTGAAAAATGGAAAAACAAAGTGGAATAATATAAACCTGAATTTGATCCCTTTTCTCGAAGGGAAAAATAGAAAATTTAAGATATCTTTGACATTAAAAGTGATTTTAAAGAATGCAACGTTACTAAAAAAA